GGAGGGTCATGGGATCAGTTTCTACCGCTTGCAGAGTTTGCTTATAACAACAGTTACCAGTCGAGTATTCAGATGGCTCCATATGAGGCTTTGTATGGGTGGCGGTGTAGATCTCCAGTTGGTTGGTTTGAGCCGAGCGAGGCCAGGCTATTGGGTACAGATCTAGTGCAAGATGCTTTAGACAAGGTGAAGGTGATTCAGGAGAGGCTTCGTACAGCGCAGTCGAGACAAAAGAGCTATGCTGACAGGAAGGTTCGGGATGTATCCTACACGGTTGGTGAGAAGGTTCTATTGAAGGTTTCGCCCATGAAGGGTGTTATGAGATTTGGGAAGAAGGGTAAATTGAGTTCTCGATTCATTGGGCCATTTGAGGTACTTCGGAGGATAGGGGAGGTGGTGTATGAGCTTGCTTTGCCACCCAGCTTGTCGAGTGTGCACCCGGTATTTCATGTTTCTATGCTCCAAAAGTATATTGGGGATCCGTCTCATGTTCTAGATTTCAGCACAGTTCAGTTAGATGGTGATTTGACCTATGATGTGGAGCCGGCAGCTATTTTGGAGCGTCAGGTTCGGAAGTTGAGATCAAAAGATATAGCTTCAGTGAAAGTGCAGTGGAGAGGTCAACCCGTAGAGGAGGCTACCTGGGAGACCGAGCGAGAGATGCGGAGCAGATATCCTCACTTATTTGAGGCTTCAGGTATGTTTCTTGACTCATTCGAGGACAAACGTTTGTTTAAGAGGGGGAGGATGTAATGACCCGGCCGGTCATTTCATGAGCTACCTCTCTGTTTCCCCCATATCTGCTTCTATTCGCTTTGTTTATCAGTTCTATGTGTGATCGGGTTGGTTGGCTCAGGTTCGGAAAGGTTTTGGTAAGATTTGAGACACTTAGTCTCTTTTAAGAAAGCTTAAGTTGGAAAAGTCAACTGGATGTTGACTTAGGTGTTAGAGGGCTTGGATGTGAATTTTAATGGTTTGGATAGCTTCAGGAGGTGATTTGGGACTTAGGAGTGTGATCGAAATGTGTTTTGGAGGTCCGGAGTAGATTTAGGCTCGAATTGGCAAAAATGGGATTTTGGCATTTTTCAGTTGATAGGTGAGATTCTGATATAGGGGTCGGAATGGAATTTCGGAAGTTGCAGTAGTTCTGTTGTGTCATTTGCGATATGTGTGCAAAATTTTAGGTCATTCGGACGTAGTTTAGTATACTTTTTGATCAAAAGCGGATTCGGAAGATTTTAGAACCTTAGGCTTGAATTCGATGTGTTTTGGTCATTTTGATGTTGTTTAAGGTGTTTTGAAGGTTGGTATAAGTTTGAATGGTTGTATAAGACTTGTTGGTGCTTTTGGTTGAGGTCCGGGGGGCCTCGGGGTGATTTCGGATGGTTGGCGGAAAGATTTGGAGTTGGTTGTGACAGCTGAAGTTTCCCATTGCTGTCATAACCGCACCTGCTGCTAGGGGAGGTGCGGTCTCGCAGAAGCAAGATTTGAATCGCAGAACAGGATAGGGCCTGGGAAGGCAGAAACCGCAAAAGCGGTTGATGGACCGCACCTGCGATGGCGCAGGTGCGGATTGGGGCATCGCAGATGCGGAAGGCGGAGTTTAAGTGGAAACCGCAGGTGCGGTGATTTGGACCGCAGAAGCGGTACCGCAGATACGGTGGATTGACCGCAGGTGCGACAAACCTGGGTCAGAATGTATATATTTCTTCCTTCGCGATTTTCAGAGGGCTTCACCAACGTGAATTCTAGAGTTTTGGACGATTTTGAAGAGAGAATTCAAGGAGACTTCATTGAGGTAAGGTTTTGGATCATAAAAACTCATTTCTATGGTATTATTTCACGGATTTGGACTGTAATTAGGGGAATTTAAGGGTTAAACATGGATGAAACTAGGGCTAGGAAACTTAGGCCTTTGATTGAGGATTTGAAGGACCATTTGGGGTCGGATTTCGGAACTTTTGATATGTGTGAACTCGTGGGGAGATGAGGAATCTATTGATGTGAATTTTATTAAATTCCGAGACGTGGGCCTAGGGGTCGGGTTTGGTTAATTTTGAGAATTCCATTGTTTTTTCGATTGTTTTCGAGTGGGCTTTGTCCCTTTAGCATATTTTGATCGTTACGTTCTGATTCTTTGATTTGGAGCATCGGGAGGCCGATTCGAGGGGCAAAGGCATCGTGAGCTAGAGTTTGGGCCGGATTAAGGTGAGTAATGATTTTAAATGTTGTCCTGAGGGTATGAAACCCCGGATTACACAGCGCTAGGCTATGTTGAGGTGACGCACACGCTAGATGACGAGCATTCGGTCGTGCACCGTTGGGGATTGTGACTTGGTCCATCCCGAATGACTATCTTACTGCGTATTTCATTGCAAATTGTGTGATATTATCATGTATTGGGCTAAATGCTATATTTGGACTTCGTGCCAACTGTTTGGACCCTTAGGGGATTTTCACTGCCATTTCCTCACTATATTAACTTTATACTTGTACTTAGTCATGCTATATTTTAATGCTTTCATAACTCCGCCATGTTTACTCTGTTTTAAACACCTCAAATGATATTTTAAAAGATATTTTGAGCTGAGCATCATGTTACACAGTTGCCCGAGTGGCTTATGAGATTCTGACTGAGTAAGGCCGAGGGCCTATGTTATGAGGATACTTTTGGGTCGGGCTGCACGCCGCAGCGGTGATATACTGATTATGATTATGAGGCCGAGGGCCTGAGATTGTACGCCACGAGGTGGCTTGTTGATATGAGGCCGAGAGCCTATGTGATTATGCCACGAGATGGCTTGATATTGCGCTTGGGCCATAAGGGGCCCCTCCCGGAGTCTGTACACCCCCAGTGAGCGCGGGTACCCATTGTGATATGAGATATAGCCCAAGGGGCTGGTATTGTTCTTTGTTAAATCCCGAGGGGCTGATTCTGTTGTTATGATGCCCGAGGGGCGGTTTTTATGTGTTTACCTTTTCTAGCTGCTTTTCCTTTATTTGTTTAACTGCTTAAAAGGTGCTTTATGAGATTACACTATTTAATTGCATTTACTAATTTTATTCTGCCTCTTATAGCTTATTGTTGTGTTTAACGTGATTTTGTATTGCTCAGTCTTCATTTATGGTTATTACTCACTGAGTTGGAGTACTCACTTTACTCCCTGCACCCCTGTGTGCAGATTCGGGCGCTACAGGTCCTGCTTGCAAGGGTTGAGAGCTGTCCAGTAGATTCCGGAGATTCGCTAGGTAGCTGCCCGGCGATTCGCAGCCCAGTGCATTCTCCTTCTATCTTATTTCCTTCTGTGTTTAGTTCTGTAATAGTGGAGTAGACCTTTTCAGACTTGTAGTATTATTATAAATGCTCATGACTAGTGGCACCCCCATGTCGGGCTGTGTTTTATTCCGCAAACTGTATTGTTTACTATATTTTGGGATTTTATTATGTTAAAGACTTAATATTTATTATTTTAATTGCTTAAAATGAATTGAAAGTGTGTCGGCTGGCCTTTTCTTCATGAGAGGTGCCACCACGACCGGGTCTGGGTTTAGGGTCGTGACATGTCTCCTTGAAATAATAATGGGTACGAGGGAGAGCAACGGGGATGCTTCTACATTAAAGGAGTGAAACAAAATTTCTTTTAGAAAATAGGGCGGGAATCAATAATGAAACTATAATGTAAGATTATACGTTGTTCCTTGTCTAACTATTCTTGTATGCTCGCACTTAATTTGAACACAAATTAAAAACGTATCCTTTTTTAACTGTTAATTGTTATTAATTACGTAAATATGGTCATTGGATTAACTAGGGATGTGTGGAAAAATCAAATTTGTAGTAGTTATGTAGACTCTCTGCGTTATAGACTAAACATTGCAGTTATGAAATTTTATGCTGAAATTAATTTTCCTTATGCGTCCTACAAAATGACCTCTAGAACAAGTACTTAAATCGTAGGGACATCAAAGACACAAAGAGATCCATCGAATCCAATAAACTTAGAATTTGTGAAGTGAATATATCAAAGGTAGATGAGAGCGTATAAGCATACAACTATTCTTTGGTGGCAGACGAAAAGTAAGAAGAAGAAAAATTGATAATTGGAACATCTAACTATATCTTATATATTTATATTGTAAAATTTGTTTTTATTATCAATATAATTTTATACTAGGTTATAGCAGGCTATTACTCTCTTTATCACGTTCATAATTCATAGGATCTTATAGTTGATATTTATAAAGTTTACCTTCTATATAGTATTATAAACGGTTAAAAGATTTTTTATACTCAAAAACCAAAGATTGTTTATAATATATGTAGAAGATGAGCGCATTTACAAAACCTCGGATAGCTTGAAAGTTAATATAATGACTTCATTCATGAGATCTATATGAATTTCGTCCCCCTTCACTACAATTTATTTGTTCAATATATAGTAGTATATAATCCTGCCAAAACGTAATGAGGAAAGTTCTTGAGGTCAACGACATCGTTACCACCTACCACAGACGTTATAACTTTCAAAATTAAAGGAGTAGAAAACAAAACAAAAAACGAAAATATATAGCATATATTACGTCTAAAAGCTTGAGGAATTAAAATAAATTGTTAAATCATTAAAACTTATTAATCTTCTTGAATTTAAAAAATTAAAGGAATAGAAAGGATTTGTAAGTATGCATCAAATCAATGAATGCATTCACATGTATCTTTCACATATATTTTATCACTTAATCTTAATTAATTATGAGATAATATATTTGTTTTTATCTCAATATAATACTTAACCACCATAAAGTTAATATAGTTTGTTATATATATATATATATATATATATATATATATATATATGGAGAGCGAGATTTTTTTTCTTAAAGATACAACAACTTACAGCTAGGACCGGACCAAACCAGATTAGACTTGTCATAGGAGAACAACATAATAACGAAACTGAAAATAGTCCATATCTAGCTAGACTAGAGACCATAGACTACGATGTACATAGTTAAACTGCAAACTACATACCCGAAATTCCTGCGCGCACTAAATCTAAAATAGAAGCCTATAACAACATGGTTATAACAGAAAAAAGGTGATAGATAGAGTTGGCGGAGGAGGGAAAAGATAATATGCATATGCTCAATTCCCTCTGTCCCTTTCATGCCATTAGGTGGGCAAATTTTGGTGCAGCGGTAGTAATTCCATTGAGTTCTTCAGAGCTCTTGATAATGTCTTCAGTCATGAAATTGTTAGGAATCGGAACAACTTTCTCCTCTTCCTCTTCATTGTCTGCTTTCGTCTCCTCTACAACCATTTCGTTCATATTTGGGCTAATTGGTCTGGAACCGGAGTCATTAGATGAAGATGAATTGAAGCTTAAGGATCGCCTAGGAACAATGTTTATGCCTTTTGGGAGCTTTTTGGATTTGGGTTTGGAATTGGTGCTGTCGGAGAGAGTGCACCGGTTAGCCGGGGGAGGATGGTTGTGTTCACCTGAATAGGCGACGATAAAAAGGTTTGGATGCCTTGGGCTTTTCTCAATGTGTTTCCTTCCGTCGCAGTCTTTTGAAGTGCTACACCTAAAGTAGTTCCTGTCATGTCATATACACAGTGAATAACAAGCATATCATTAATTAATAATGCAACCTTTTTTTTTATCACTGAAATTCAGAATCCATGAATGGGAGTTGTAGTGAAACTGCTGAAAAACAAAACCTCGGAAATAGAGACCCTTTGATTGGCTTCTGACCATATTTACGCCATGCCCATGTAAAATCAATGAGTTCCTCTTGGCTCACTTCATAGACTGTCTTTTCCGGCTGATTTTTCCTGTGACGACAATAAAAATTTTATTTTTTTCCAATAGAAAGGGAAAAAGACACATACAAAAAAGCGAGTTAACCATGATATATATATATATATATACCTTCTTCGAATTTGGATGATTGGATTTCTAATGGAAACAGTGATAGTAGGACGGACTTTAGCCCGCTTCAGAACTGGACATGGATTCAGTTTCTGCAGAATCACTTGCTGCGGTGCTGCTGCTGGCACACACACTGCAGCCGCTGGTGATGGTGGAGGAATTGGTTGGGTCTGCTGAGCTGGTAATTGAATGGGCTGTAACAGCAGCTGTTGGTGATTTTGGTCATTCTTGACCTCATCAGCAATAGGAACACTAACAAAAGAAGGTTGAGACGCATCAGGTTTTTGTTCATTCCTAGAGAATATATCAGTTAAACATTCGAAAGTCATGATGTCGTCATCACGGTCAACATCTAAAAGACTATGGAAAAAATTCCAATCATCATCGTTTTCAAAAGTCAGAGACTCTAAGCCTAAACTGGGAACTTCTACCTTGTTGGTGTCATGACTAGGTCTAATGTTATAGCTTCTTACAACTGCACCTAGATTCCAATTGTTGTCACCCATTTTCAGCTCTATATAAAATATCTAGGTAGCTACAGAGAAAATGGGGAAGAGAGGATGATAGGTAGGGGCAAGAAATCTAAAGTTAAAAATAAAGAAATGCTAAAAAACCTAAATTGTAGCTATGTCTCTATCATGGTTTTCATGTGTGTGTGTTGTGTAAGTTACAGAAGAGAGTGGGTAGAGAATTAGGACCAAACAATGATGGATGCAGAAATTGACCAGGATTTGTTTGTTATACATAGGGGAACTCAAAGGGGGTTACCTACCCACCCCACACGTCCACTTCTGCTTAGCATTTCAAGCACAACAATTGTTTTTTTCTCTTTTTTACTTCTGGGGTGAGAGTGTTTGAATAAGACAGAGTCAACGTGAAGAGATTTATATAATCAATATCTAATTCAAATTTTAAATGTTTGGAATTGTCACACCTCCTTTTTTACACACCTACCCCGAAGGATAATGTATAAGGGAGTTTTTCCATTTAAAGTGACATTATTCGAAATGGAATTATTTATTTATTCTTAGAGTCGCCACTTGGGATAGGAATGGCTTTTGGTGTCCCAAGTCACCGGTTTAACTTGAATCCCAAATCGAGGAAAACTTCGACTTCCCAGTTGGAGTCTGCGAACCAGAAATTCTGAATAAGGAATTCTGTTGACCCGAAGGAAGATGTTAGGCACCCCCGGATCCCGTGGTTCTAGTACGGTCGCATAAATTATTATAATTGGCTAAAAATCTGATTTTAATACATGTTTTCACTTATGTGCCTTTTAACTTTAAACCGCTTTTATTATTCTTTTTAAAGAGAATTGCAACGTCGTAAAAACGCGTCTCGAACCACGTCACATAAATGCACCCGCGGTTTTTGACACATTTCGACTTCGTTGAGATTTGGATTTGGATCACATAAATGTGCACCCGTACTTAAGAAGGTAATATTATTAAATGCCGGGCCTAAAGCAGCTAGCGTATTATTAACTTTGCGGGAGGCCATGAAAATTCACTAAATGGCCCGTCCCGATTTCTAAGTATTTTAAATGGAAGTAACTAAAGAGGGCCACGCAAATTTGCGATTTTTGTTTGGCGCGGCGCACCTCGGTTTCATCTTTTAAAGGATATTAAACTAAGCTTGAAGGGTCATGGACTATTGGGTTATCTAAAATGGCCCTCCTAAAATTATTTTGAGGGTCTTACTAATTTACTAAGGTCATAAGGATTAGATATGGGCTGTGAATTTAAATTCCAATTGCTAAACACAAGAACACACATGTGCCATAGCTGGGCCTGAAGGGGAGGCCCAATGCTTTAATACTCTGAAGCTACTGAAACTCACTGCATACTAACGCATGATCTGGGCCTGGTAATTAACTGGAGGTCCACCTCTATGCAGAAAGTATTTCGGGGGCCTCAGTTGTAAGGCTGCCCAATGCTTTGGGCCCATGTATCAACAAACAGGCCCATTTTCGAACACCTGGGCAGCTTCCATATTATTTGCATTTTTAACTAACAAGTATATGAGAAGATGAATTTGAATTTTTTGCTGCTCATGATTCAATTTAAATCAACTAAAACAATTTAAAACAACCAAAACAATTATTGACATATTATCAAATCGATTTCCTTAAAAGAAAACATATATCCAGTATTGACTTTAGAAAATCATGTGTTTAGGCGCAAAACACCTGAGACACATTCAGTAAACTAAAATGAACCTTGAGCAATTGAACCTAACGGACCTATTACCAGATCTAAAACAGGATCCAAGCTAATCTCAGCAAAACTAATTAATCCAAGATGATCTGACAACAATCCTAATTTAATTACACATGACTTACTGACTTAAAATAGAGTTTGACTAAATGAATAACACAATCTAAAGCAAACAACGCTACTTTTACTCATGGCTATCGAACGTATGAGACTTTAAATGCATAGATCAATAAGTCGAACAATATGTAGGATTACATCTCTTATTACAAATCAAATGAATAAACAGGGAATCAGAAAAGAGGAAATCAGCTTGGAACAACCTTTTATTCAAATTAATCTTCAACTACATGTTTCCACAACCTCTGGCCATTCAATGGTTAAGTAAATACCTGGAAATTGAAGACAAAAGTAAAGCAGGAGTATCAGCAAATAGCAGGGGAAATCAGCAACAACTATCAACCCAGCTAAACGACTTGAAATGCTTTAGAGTTAAACCAATTGAACAATAGCCCAGCTGAATCTAACACCAAGCTTCAATGAACCAGTTTAAACACCTCTCAACCAGATGAATACAAACAGTATCTTAGCTGGATTCCTAAGCCATTTTTTGTGTTAATTTTTTAGGATTTTCTTTCTCTAAGATCTAAAATCTAGGCATTTGAACTCTCAAATTCTGCAGTTTTGTGTTGAATTTCAGTAGCTTTCTACGCTCTCTAGAACTCTTTTTAGATTTGAAAATTCCCTCTCAAAACTATTCAAAACTCTCAGATTTCAAAACTTTGGATTTTCAAATTTTCAGACTTCAAACTTTGGATTTCAAATTTTCAGATTTCTTCCCCCTCCAACTTGTTTTGCAAGGCAGGGATACTGCCTTTTATAGGCAAAATTAGGCCAATTTTCAGACTTTTACTTTACACCCTAGCCCCCTCTTAATTTTCAGTTTTTAGCTTAAAAGCCCTTAGGGTACTGACTTGTTACCTAAGTTATACTACTTAATTCCTGAAATTTAAATTGGTTCCCCAATCTAGAAGGTTCTAGGGGCTTCTATTTTCAGTTACTGCAGGATTCCTTAATTGAATTACCCCAATTACCCTTGATCCCATGTTTAATTACCCCTGAAAACCACGAGTTCATCAGGCCAAATCAAATGGGTCATGGACCCAAATGAAGTACCTACTTGGGCCTACTATTTCTTGGGCTTCAAAATTTATCAACCAAAAGAAATACAACTAAGTCTAACAGAATCAAATGGGTCAAAACAGAATAAGGAACGGATTACTTCAAATCTAAATTAACAATGAACTATACTGGTATTCATATACACAGAACCCTAAATGACTACAAATCAAATCAAGAACAAAAATTAAAATAACAAAAGAAATACTGAAATCGAAAGATAAGCAAGAACAGAAAAATAAAAATCATAAAAGAAAAACAGAAGAGAAATGTGAAGTGAAAATACCTAGAAATTGGCCCAATTAAACCTCGAATCTTGGCAAGCTGCTATGAATTGTTTGGACTAAAACAGTCCTTAGAAAACACATGACTAAGGGTTATTATAATCCAAATATCAGTAATCCCCCTCTAAATTGGATTTTGTAAAATTAGGGCTTTTTCACAGTTAGATTCGAAGGAGACGGGGGTGATTTGGAGAAAATCAACCATGGATTAGGGAAGAGGGGGAGGTGGAGGTGGCTTGGTATCATTTTGGTGGTGTTTGGGTGGTGGCGCCGCCGGACACGGCGGAGGAACCCATGGCGGCGCCCTAGGGTTTATGATTTTCAGGGGGTTTCAATGGGATTTGATAAAAAATAACAACACATCTATGATGAGGGAGAGGAAAGGATGTTGTGGTGAAAATTTGGGGGTCATTGGTGACTCGCCGCCGGCGGAGATGATTTCCGGCCGTCGGTTTGCGGTGGCAGGCGGTGGAATTAGGGTTTGGGTGTTTAGGGGTCTGAGAGAAGGTCGACAGGGGGGGTAGGGGCGTGTTTGGACAATATATATCAAAGCAACCAAGCTTCAGGACCGTCCGATCAAGAAACCTCGACGGTCCTGATCTAATCCCATGAAGCGACGTCGTTTGAGTTATTAAGGGGGGAAGGGAGACCGGGTCAGGGATGGGTTTGGGCTGTTTTTGAACGGGGTCTCAGTGATTAATGGCTTGGGCTAGTGAATTATATTAGCCTTGGCCCAATTGTCCCTTTTTCTTTATTTCCTTTTCATTTAACTCCTTTTCTTTTATTTATTTTCTTTTCTCTTTTTTTTTTCAAAACTAAAATTGAACCTAAAAAATTAATTCAACCTACATAATTAAGTTATAATTAAAACTACTACTAAAATACCAATTTAAAGGAAACTAATAAACCTCAAACCTAAAATTTAAACCAAACAAAACAAATCAATTTTAATTACTAATTGATCTAAAAAAAATGTAAAATTAAATCCTAAATGCCAATGCAATATTTTTATATTTTTTTATGAATTATCTAACTAATCATGCTCATACCAATGCAAATACACACACAAAATTGCGCAATTAAATCCTAAAAATCAAATAATAAAAGAAAAATCCTAATTTTAAGAATTCTGTAGGAGCAATTCAAGAGAGGCAAAAATCACGTGCTCACAACTGCCCCTCTTTGCTCGGAGACACGGAGGTTTTTCGGGCAAAGATAAATGAGCAATTATGAGAGATTTTTGCCCGCTTGGCACTCCATGAGAAGCAATTTTGAAAACCGTCTGACCGAACCCTGCTTCAAAGGTTGCCTACATATCCTTAGCTGAAAAGGAATCAGGTCAGTGTAGTTCTGGAAGGTTTGGTAGCTGGGACTACCAGGAGCTGTGATGTCACTGTTGTTGCTGCTGCTACTGCTTGCTGACCTCCTTATTACACCAAAAGGAAAATTAAACTAAGCTAGCTATGCCTATCAACTATGAGTTACAAGATTCCTATCTATAATTCTCTTGAATCTTGATCTTAAGTCTTAGCTGATTTTGCTGTGGACTCCGATCTGAATCTTGATGCTCGCAAGCTGTAGGTGTTTACTTCTTTCCGCAGCATTGGGTCAAAACGGGATCAGCGGAGCTTGTGACTTCAATCAGACTTTGAGCAATCCGCACCCTTGTTTGCTTCACATTTGATTCCATTTCTTTTTGTTCTTTTCTTCTTTTCTTTATTCTGGATTGGGACTCATTCCATCAGCTACCTCGGATCCTATGCCTCGAGGTCAAACCTGCTCAGACACCAAAACAAACAAACGAACAAAATTTTTCTGCCCCAGTTTTCA